CGGTCCCGCATTCGACGTATGCCGTTGAGCCATATCCATGAGTTCTTCTCCCGTTTTGACGTGAAAACGTCTTTAGTATGGCTTAGGTGGTCGGTCGAATGTACTTCGTCTTTCGCGTAACGAAATTTGTCCAACTTCGGGGCCATCAAACTCCGCTTGTGCGGTTCGCGTCGTGTTCTCGTTCGTCAAGACTTGAAGCAAATATATGGTGGCTTCGTCCGTCCAATTTTGTGGGATTGTATCGTCGTTCTGGTCATCTTCAACAGTCTCGAAAAGGCCCCTCCGAATATCGTAAAATATTGATAAATAACACATTTGCCCGGCGGTGAATGAATACTCTGGGACTTGCGACAGCTGAGCAGATAGGCCAATTTGTAGCGCACCCGATAGAGTGTACATTCGAAACCAGAACATCTAGGAGGGGGGCAAGCTCGACGAATACAACTCGACCCGTTCGCGGATAGCGTACCTAAAATCCGCTTTGGCAGATTCTATTCTGATATGGTTTCTAACGACGATGTACCAAATATCAGTTTGAAGGAACGGCACTTCCCACAACTGCGGTGGGCAGCTCATTCCAGAGGAAGCATTACTTTCTTTTCCACATGGTCTTATTCTCAGGATGAGACCTAAACTAGCAAGTCGGAAACGCGAGGCGAGAAGAAAGGCGACTCGGCCGGCAAAAAAGGCGAAGACGAGCGCGGAGCGCGTTGCTGAGCATTAAGCGCGGACTAGGGGAACGATTCAGCCCATCATTGAAACGCCATGTGGGGCTTCCGTCACGAATAGTTTCTCGCATGAGGATCAGCCAGTAGTTGCGGGAGCGATTTTTGAACGTATTGACCCGGATTTGGCGAGATCTCCCGAGCTGTTCCATGTCCGGCAACGAGCATCCGTATACATCTTCCGTAGCTTCGAAGAGAATGAGTTGGGACAAGCGATCAATGTGTGCGATCGGCTATGGTTTGAGCGGGATTTGAAGGCAGTGACAGCTCGAATGGCTAGTATGCTATCCAACCATTGCCCAGGCGAGGATACGATCACGTTCAGACTCTGCGGCAATTGTTTCAGAGTTCGTCGAACAAACAAAATCCCGGCAATGAGAAGGACGAATGGATATGTGTTCCCCCCTAAGCCATCGAACTTCCCGGACTTAGATCCCATAACCGGAGGACTGATCTCTCCGCGAATACCTTCAATGCAGATCCGTCGCCTACGTCGAGAGGGTTCATTTATGGTATCATTGACCACGTGATAAATTTGCCCGCGGATGTTGACACTATGGTGCGATCCCTGCCGCGTGGTTTAGATGGCGAATCCGCATTCAATGTCAACTTGAAGAAAAAAATTAATTCATAAATCATCATACATCAGCGGATTTCTGAAAAAATCATCAGTGTGGAGATGGCCACAATATTTGGTCGAGCGACCCCTCTACAAGCTTTACAATATCAAGGTGGATTGTGGTGTCTTCAAGGATTCCCTCATCGGAGCTGATTCCATAGCTGATGACGGTATAGAACACCTGGATCCTAGCGATGCATTTGAGTCCGAATCGATTAATTTACGGCAACATACTATGATGTGTATTGCAGAGCACTGTCTGAATAATTTTCTCTTTATGTTCGATCATACTCTCTTGAATACCTCCATACACCCTTTTAAAAAGGTTAGGAAGACGTTTTCACGCCTCCATTACGGTAGTGTCCATGGCACTACCACTGTGACTTTTCTTTATCAACGGCGACGATCGGATTGTTCGACTCTGCCATCGCACACGGTACACGAACACTGAATGTCTCCTGATTCCTTGCCATTGTCTTGCGTCCCTCTGTGCATCTGTCAGTCCGCATCGCGTCTGTATATGTATGTCTGCGGTGCTGCAGAAATGTCGTAAACTCCCACGCAGGTTGCATAATCATGCAAGTAAGCCCGTCTTCTCCTCTGCGAAGGAATCTTCAAGAACGACTTCCCCCTCGGAAGACTCCAGTGGCAGTAACCTTGCTCGGTGATGTACAACTCATATCGCCTGTTCCCGATCCTTCAGATGAATCCACTGCATTCTCACTTTGATTTTCAGCCCCTCTAAACCGAATTATTTAGTCGTTGGTTCTGCTTCCCGCTTGCTCCTCTCCGGAATCTTCCCCGGGAAACACGGGCAACTCCTCTGATGTGTAGCTCTGAGGGCCTGTCTGTTGAGTTCCCCTGTCCACGAGTACCTCTCACTCGGGGGCAGTTTAACTGCCAGAGTACCTCACGAAATGTGCCTCATTTTGCAACTGGCTCCTTCGGAAGCAGTCTACTTCACTCGACACTTGCTTCACGCGCCTCGCCAGGTCTGTCCTTTCCGGTCCCCGTCTGCTTAACCCTAGGTACACTGGAGTTCGAAGCTCACACTGACTACTGCGGCGTTCTGGTCCCGGTGCAGAGACTGCTCGGATATATCCCAAGGTTACCTCCCTGCACGAAAGCACTTCATTATGGTTCATCGAGGCGCGCTCCGTCTGCAGAGGAATGACCGCATCAGGAAGATTCAATGTCGACATTAGAGACCCGAAGTTCGATTTAGGCGGTTGCTGGCTGTACTCCCTGTTAGGTTGAGCGAAGGTCTGATATACGGTAAAATCGTACGTCTGATGAGTCTATGGTTGCGCCGAAAAAGAATAGCGCGGGGGAACCGAACAGGAGCGAAATTCGTGGGTGGGAAAGGGATGACAATGATGTCAGTGATTTTTGCGTGAAACTTCAGGGTGAGCTGAGGCGGTTCCTCCGTTCCTCCCGTATTCCTCGGGTCCGATTTTACGGTGCTTTAGATTGATAGAGTTTCTGCACCCTCAAGAAGAGTCTTTGGGACCGGGGAATCGGGGATCGTAGGAGGTATCACTCGATCCTTGACACAAAAAGCGATACTACCAGCAGAGTGGATGACCCCAATCTCGGAGGCACGGGCTGTTCGTCAGGCGGAATTTCTCCAGCCGAAGAGCACGGCGAGTTGAATGGGTGCGTGCCATAATTTACCCGGATCTAACCGACTGCCAATTCACGGCGCTATGGGCCAGTATCAATAGGGAATACATAATCAAGGAAACATGCCCGCACAATCTTCGCTCCCCCTTAAAAACTCATCGAGGAGAGTCTACGGGGAAGGTATCCGTGGCACCCGGCACACAGAAGATTCGGACCGAAGCGCTTCCTGGGGTGTATGGGCTTCGTCCTGAAACCAATTCCACCCCTCATATCTGTGCCAGAAGGAATGTGCCTTCTCTCTCGCGACGTGAGCTCAGTTCTCAATATCGTGACGATATCTGCCTCATGCACAGTATACTCGAGCAACTATTGCTGTCGATACAGCACGATCGGGAACATCCGAGCAGCTATGCGATCAGAACGAGTCTGGGCGAACGATTCTGTGGTTTCGGATACTCTACACATTGTTTACCTGTGTCTCGATCGCTCTTGCCATGCGTACGGGCTCTGCCCATTTCCTCCTCACGATCGAAACTTCGAGGAAACCTGATTGCCTTTGGAAGGTGAGGAGGATTCTCCTCGGCAGACTCTCGCATCTTCTGCTAATGTTTGAAAATAAGGCCCCCCGGCCGCCTTGTCACTGAATTCCTAGAAAGCTCGCATCCCGTTGCTCGGTGAATAACGGCGTGACATTGTGATTTGACGACGCATTTCGCGTAAATAGACTCCATCCCTCGGACGGGACATGGCATCGAGCGCTCAACCCTGAGAATTAGTGACGAAATCAGATGAATCTCGTTCCTTACGACCGGCAGGTTCTCGGATAGGGAGAGCTGGTCATTCCCTCCACCAGGGAAGACACGAATCGCTTGACGACGACCAACTGTGAATAGCCGAGTTCTCCGAGCTGCTCGGCAGACCATGGATGCTTACCCTGCTGCCTGTGATGAGCCAAGCGTCGACTAGGGAATCCAGTTGCTTCGAGTCTCTTCCCACAAACCACCGAAGACGATATCTTGGACTTAACGCGGTGTAGCGATCGATCGGAGATGATCAGACAGAAAATCATTATGACTCCGGGGAAACATTTTGTGTGAGGTCGCCCGCTGCCCCGGAAGAGCCAGGCAGCGAGAACTCCTCTGAGCGCGGGGGACAACGGCTCCCTGGAACAGAGTCGCTCACTTGGAATCTCATCCTGATCTTCCCGTCCACGCGCTATCCTTATTATAGGGCGCAATGGCCCTCCTGAGGAGAGAGATTCTCCTGGCGACATTAATAACCACAGCGTTCGCTTTGGATCCTCGATTGCTCGATCCTGCGTTCGGCTCTGACGGACCCGTAGTCGACGTTCCAGAAGATTCATCTGAGACTTTGTCCGGCTCTTCCAATTCGGTGCAAACGTCCGGAGCCGAACCTTACCCTGAAACCGCAATAGCAACAACGACCCCGCCACCGGTCACTTGGAAATGCGCTTATGGGGATCACGATAGTGTGAGTGATATCAGTGTTTTCCGGAATTCCTTTGAAATCGATTCCGGGGGAAGTTTTTGAATACGGAGAAAATCGGTGCGAGATAAGATATGTGATTCTAGTTCGAGGAAGGCATCAATTCTTCAACTCTGACTTCCAGCTCCAATCCTGCTACGTACAATGCCAGTTCCTGCTCATGTACACTCAACACATTCCCAAGGATCATGGTACAGAGTGCGAGATCAGAGAGGTCGTCAGGAGGGGAAATTCCTTGCGCATTTTCAGAACGCCTGGGAGGTGCGACGGAGACGGGAACTGTATTGCACCGGAGGAGTAGGGAGCCGATGTGCCCTCAGCCTTCGGTTACGCTAGTCGAGAGCTATAGGGAAGAAACTCGCTGGGAGAGCGATCGGGGGGTTCGAAGGACGTGACTGAAGAAAGCAGTCGAGCGCCGATGCTTCGTCTTCAAGAGCCCAGATCACCCCCGCCATCTGAACCGAAGTAAAGGATAGAAGTTTCTCGTGCTCGGATTTCGAACGGAAATTATAAGATGGGAAATCGTCTCATTCTCTTGTGTTTAGTGGGGGAAACCAGCGGGATCACGAGCGGTACTACCGCCGGTACAGGTGGATTTTCATGATGCCAGCCAAGATCTTGTTGCGAAGCTGTTCCGGGTAAGGCTTCGGTAACATGGAGATAATTCGATGTACGATAATGTTCAAATTATTGCCTTCGTTGTATTCGTCGTCCGGATCCTGCAACGTACATCGAAGTTCATTCACTAATTCCATTCAGGATGATGTTTCTTCAATCTCCGGAATAAACGCCTAATATTCTTGTGGGAGGAGGTGATTGGAGTGTTCCCCTACGAGGCTTTTCTCAAGCCGAAGAACTAACCTCTGAGATCATGATTCGCTCGAATGTGGATCGGATGCCTTCGAAGTTGGCCGCACTCAATTTACCGCTGAAAGAGGTAATTCCCTTGGTCACCGCAAGAACATTTTTCATTGTGTGACCGGGGGCTTCTGCCTCGGGCACCCCTACCCGAAGGTCAGAGAGTTCTGATCAGGGCGGGAATCCTCGGCATCGTTTAGGGTGGGCCAGGGAAAATTCAAGAATAGATTCACCTCGTATTCAGGATTGCCTTTTCATACGCATCGAAGTCGGCCGCATACCGCTGCTTCTTAAATTGATCCATATCTTCCCACATTCTCGTGGAGTATTGCGTATGTTTATATGCCTCGCACGTCAGCAGGGAGAAATCGCCTGGTCGGACGGTGATCACCCGTACACCGTATTTCCCCAACTCCATCCTGGAAAAAGACTCAGTTTTTTTGTGCTACGATCGGCTTGCCTTGAGTTCCTGAAGTGAATTAATGACCTTAAGGAGTCGGTGAAGGCCTCCATTCCGGTCTTCGAGCTGTTGTAAGCAGCGAGGCCCGAACCCGCTGTGAGTCCGTCTAAGCCAGTCGTATTCACGAGGCGAGCCTTGTCCTGGGGATTGGGATAATCATGATATGATCGCGCGGCTCTTGCTCCGGGAATGTCTCGCTTCCAACATGCTTCGTGAATTCAGTATTCGGCGGCAATCGACTTGCCGAGATTATCCGTGGGAGCAATAATTTTGTGAAGGTCATTGGTCCAGTGAGGTTGACCTGAAACATGAAATGGATCATCTCAAGGAATGCAGCGTTCAGAATCTTGATCACCCCCCCCGAGCGGAGCTCGGTTTCTGCAGCCTCACCTTCATTACATCGTCAACCTGCTTCTGGCACAACCAGTCAAGTTCACCCTTGATGCAAATGCCTGCATTGTTCACGACTCCATGTAGTCTTCTCCCTCCCTCGAGGATCTTCCCAACTTCGTCAATAGCTGTTCTTATCGAATCGACATCGGTCAAGTCCATCTGCACAACCTCTACGCCCTGGGATGTCAAATCAGATCTCAGTTTCGGGTAGTTACCTCATCCCCAACATTTGTTCGCTCTCAGGGGTGATCTGAGCCACAGTCTACATCCACCAGATCTTCGGGATAGGTGGATGTAGACTGCGGAAACGCGGAACGAATAGGATGATTCATAAAATCTGTCAATCACCATTTGTTCGAGCTGGATGGCACCGGGACTTGACGTATCGAGGACTGTGGCGACGACGTGGAATCTCTGGGCTAGCTTGTCTGCGATGGCTTTTCCAATGCCGGTCTCACATCCGCTGATCACGACGACATCTTTGTCATTGTCGACAGTCAATTCACCGCCCCCATCCGAAGTGTTATCCACGTAAACGTTGTAGAGCGATAAGCCGATTTGGTACAGCAGGAACAAGCCGAACAGGGACGTCAGGAGGTCAGAGAACCACCAGAGGAGCAGGAAGGCGACGAGCCGGCCCACATTGGATTTCATTCTCTTTTTCTGGAACCGAACTCAAAGGATGTGAACTTGCAGTCATTGGAGAGGGGGCGCGGAGTCATTATCGACGATCATCGGAATCGTGATTCTCGATCGGGACGATTCGAAGAACCCATCAGGTTCATAGAAGAATCTTCACGAGCAGAGTTCCAAGATGGAATCTGAGTTCTCAGTGAGAGATCGGACACGATCAGCTTCGACAGTCCAGAATCTCGTGCAGTCTCTGAACAAGCTTCCGAGAGAACATTTCCGCAGGGCGAAGCTCGATGATTGCTCATTCGGGACCGACTCGGAAAATCAAGAGCAAGCGTCACCGCCACGATTGAATTTTTCACCGACCGACGCATTGGAGACTTTCCTACTTACGGTTTCGATGACAGAACAGTGGCTTTTACCCGCCTCGATCCGGTTGACGGTTCGTGATCGTTTGATTCTTGACCAAGGTACGATCTAGACGGGAGTGCCATCAAACTAATCCCAACGGCTCAGGGAGCTTCCTAACGAGAACGCTGAATGGCACAGGCGGACTGTCAATCGACCAAGAGTTTTCTAAGGCATCTTCGGCGTGTGGGAGACCTCAGTCTCGCTCTCTGTCTCGATCCACCCTGATTTCTGTCCTCCAGGAAGGCGAACAAAAAGTCTCCGGATCGATGAGTCGTCTGGAATTCCGATCGATCGTCAAGTTTCACGACAAACGTCGTCAGCCCTCCTCAAAGCCGGATTCCGGTGAGCTCGACGAGCTGGAGAGTTTTGTTCGATCTGACACCTTGGCATCGAGCGAATATCCTGAGCGTGACAAGCTCTTCTAGCGAGCTTTCCAACTGAGAGCGCGGAGCATATCTTCGAACAAGTCAGCAGGATTCAGAGATCGCTCTAGGACTCTAGGGAACCCATGGCGAAATCGAAAACTTCCCCAAGAAGGCTCTTCCGGAAGGGTTATTAATTATTAGACGAGTCCGAGCATTGTAGCTTCTCTCGGAGTTCTCTTGACTTTTGCCGGCCCTCTCCGCCGCTCGACGAAAGAGTCGCAGTGCAACGGCCGTGCACCTCGGAGCGGGGAACGAGAACAAAGCGGAAGACCCTCTACGGAAGCCGCATCCGATCCCTTCACTCGATGACATACCCTAGATCAGCGGTTCCCAACCTTTTTGGCTCCGCGGCTCCCTAGCGAACCCGGAATTCCCCCGCGGCTCCCAGGATCCCAGTGCCCACGCGGCTCCCGCGGCTCCCAGGATACCCAGTGCCCACGCGGCTCCCGCGGCTCCTACCTACTCTCCCTTCTTTTTCCCCTAAGAGGACCATTCGCAGCTCAATTCCGGCACTCATAACTTGCATGTACATATATTGTTCACAAATATTCCGCCTCCCTCCCGTCAATTCCCCGTTAAAAAGACTGAATGGGAATCTCCGGAGACAAGCAGCTCCTGGCTGGAAAAGGTAGCCTCGCGGGCATACCAGAGCTCTCTAACAAATGAGTCCAATCTCTCTCGACGGAAGAGAAGAGTTGAGCTTCTCGAAGCTCACGGGAAAAAGCTTAGTGGTGGATGAAGTGTTCTCTGCGGGGAAGACACAAGGAAACAAAAGGTGCTCCGTGCGGTGGTGTGAAAGCGAGTGAGATTTTATTTTAGCTTCGTTCACTCCTCGATAGAGTTGAACGGAATGGCGGGAACACAACCGTCGATCCGTTTCGGAACCTTCCCTTGGAATTGACAAACCCTGACGGCCCGGACCTACACCAGAAATTCGTCCGCGGCTCCCCCAGAAAAGCCTCGCGGCTCCTAGGGGAGCCGCGGCTACCAGGTTCGGCGGCTCCCCCAAAAAAGTCCCGCGGCTCCCCTAGGAGCCGCGGCTCCCAGGTTGGGAACCGCTGCCCTAGATCGACCGACACAAGGCTATAGGTCCAGGACCAAATGGGAGCCGAACCGCGCGGAGTCCACCGGCAGAACGATTAAGCTTGACCAATCGTGAAACTTGATATCTAGCCGACGGGAATGAACCTCTGAAAAGGTTAGGCGATAAAGTAAGGCGCTCAGTCCCAAGCGGGTGTTAGGAACAGAGAGGCGGCACATCGCTAAGTATCTGAGAATATTAGCCATTCCCCGAATAATCTTTGCCAGATTCTCGATGAGGTGATCTGCGACGTCTGCAAGAGGTTTACCGGCCCACAACACCCCGTCGAGCTGAGCTTCAAGATTGTCATGAACGAGCGAAAGAGCCATTTCGGTGGTCGAGCAATGCTTCTCGCATCGATAAAGCCTTGAGATTTCATTAGAGAAGGCAATCACTGGAGCAGTCGAAATACCGCCTAAAGGGTCTTGTTCCGAGTCTATGGAGGTGTACCGGATATGCGTCATGCTGGATGCGGGGAGCTGGATGGAATTATCGCCTCTGTTTTCTTGCATATCCGGGTCGATCGAAAACGGATGAGTTGACGACGCGACGCCGACGTGACGTAGAATTCGTCATATTTTTCGCCACATTGAGGAAACGTATTGGTCACGGGGATCCATCAATCTACGGCCATGTCAGGAAATCACAAATTTGATGAACTCAGCGTGACTGCCCCCGCGAGTTTCTTACAATCCCAAACCACACAGGGAATCCAATCGAAAGAAGGCGGGGAGATAATCTGAGAGAGTATCTCGACAAGGTTGTCTTCCGGGTTCTTTATCCGTATCGTTCAATTCCAAGCTCTGCGAAGACTCTGAAGGCTCCCATCGACTTAGAGCGAACTCATAGAAGCGGGAATGGATTAGCGGATTTCTATGCCATTCCTGTGCCGAACGCACTTTGATGCCGAGCCGCTCGCCCACCGGCTCGGACCCGGCTTGATAAGAGTAGAACACGCGCCCTTATCACGCTCGACGACGCGACGTTGCCATCGCCACATTCGATTTGCGGGACGCTCATTTGATAGCTCATACACAAAGAGCGGTCCCAATGAAAGCCTAGCAGCACGTTGACGCTGTTGTCCGACGTGCCAATAAGTTCCACTCCTGTGAGGTTCCGAACGCTCTCTGTCTCGCCTGCACGTGCTCTCAGATGATTTGTAAACAAAGGACTCTGCAATGAATTCGACGACAGGTGCCGTGTGAAATTCGAAGACTACTGGGAAGGGCTATGTCGCGAAGCAGTCAGTGACAAAAAATCGGGGTCCGACGTCAGAGGAGAATATTTCCTCAGGCTATGAGAGTACACCGAAAACGCAAGGAGCCGGTAAGCGATGTCTATTCTCCAAGTTTCCCTTCTCCGGGAGACAGAAAATCAAGGCCGTCGGCGGATATATTCCCCGATGCAGTCATTGGTGCTCTGTACACTCCAAACGCACTGACGCTCCTCATCGTTGGATCTATATATGGAGCTTACATCATTAGGGATTTGGAGCCAATTGATAAAGATCGGCTCTGCGGGCTGTTGTCGAACATCGGGCTAATTCTCCCATTCGATTGAAGAACTCGATGAGGTCTGGATAGGACAGGCGGAACCAGGTTCGGCTCACGAGTTGAACGCTCCGTTTCGGCATCGGAGACGACCGTTCGGAATAGAATCGGAAAAGATGTGAGCAGCATGAGTATCCCTCTGGAATATCGCGGGGATCGCGTCGTTCGAAACCGCGTTTCCAAAAAAATAGATCGACTCCTGCTGGATGAGTTGGTCCAGAGGCTGTATCGAATGAGGCTCGAGCTCGATTCTATACGATAGATAAGTCCGGAACGAAGCGAAAACTGTGGTGTCTTGCTGGCGGAGACATCGATATTGGCTCGAAGACTTCGGAGATGCGGAAGAGAGGATTGCTGCATCACTATCATTCTTTAGAATAGTTCATGACTCCTGGAGTCGAATTTCCGTGACGGCCTTGAGGATAGCAAGAAGAGAAGAGCGTCCGGAGAATCGAGCATTGCGCTCAGAAATCGAGTCGAAGAGGACAGCACTCGTCATTTCATTCACTGCAGAACCAAAGAGAATATTTGAATGAAAGCTACCCACAGTCAGACTCGCGGACCTGATTCTGCGGAAGCCCCCTCGCGCGTTTTGCTTGGCCTCGTCACCGTGCTTGTCTGCTCGGCTGTGTGTGCATGAGCTGCGGGAACCTTGTGGTCGGAATTTTAACCCGGCGGATCCTCATCTCATGACAATTGGAGCTCAGGCTGTGATCCGGTCGCTGATGTAGTATACGAGGTTTATTTCGTCTCGCTCAAGCCCCTCCGCGGTAGTCGAAGTATATTACATCCGCTGCCTTCTCATGTGATTTCTCTTTGCAGCGAACTAACCGGGCTTGCTGCGATGATTGCTCAGAGGACTTTCGACGAGAGTCTGCTGGCTTTGGAGAGACACGTGAGCATTGCAATGGAAATAGCGTGTATGTGTCGCTCAGCCCGCGGGAGATTAGGCGCCGGACTGGATCCCGGATACGTTCTGGAGGATCTGAGGTCGTTCTGGGACCGATTAGAAGAGTCGATCTACCAATTGGGGGACGAGAATCGTAACGAGACCGAGCGGCTCTCGTTGGTATCATCAGCTCAATATTTCAGCGGACAGGTTTTCGTCCTACCGATGTCGATTACTCTCAACCATGGTATAAAACCGAAATATGTCGACGTTATTCTCGACTACGGGTCAGCGAGCACGACGTTCGCAGGAACAATGTTCAATGGACGGTATTCGCGAATTCTCCTGAAAGTTAATGCGACGGAGTCAGCACAACTCAGCCTAACTTATAAAAGTCCGTTTTCCTTCATAAAGCGTTCGAGGAAACTGCTAGCTGTCGCTCGCACCGTGAACATATCTTATTCACCTGAAGACGATTGCTTCGAGGTTACCGTGCTGTTCGGAAACCGTGAGCAGGACGTGGGGCAAGCAACTTTTCACGTTGAATGGTATCCCAAGAATTGCTAACGCGATCTGACGCGGCCTCATAACGACTGTAAATGACGATTAGGTACTTAGGAACTCTTGTATAGCTAAGTCCGGAGGAAAACACCGCGTGTATCCCACTGTATTAGCGAAAAATAGGTTTTTAATATTTCCTCAACTGCCGCACCAACGTCTCGCATCGTAGACGGAACTCCGCATCAGGGAGATCACTGTTTCGATCAACCGAGCTAATCTAGCCGATCCAATTTAAATAAATAGACATGTAATTCGATTAATTATCAGTTGCGATTTCATTTTGCCCTGAAATTTCGAAGGGTTCGTGAATACTCCTCGCTTCATCACGAGCCGTGCTAGAGCGAGGCTTCCGGCAATGGCTCGCCTATGGAACTCACTGATTCAGCGACGGAGGAATTCTCAACTTCGTACCGCTATGCATCAAAGGTGAGAAGGGTCCACGGCTGATCTAGCCAATTCGATGGCAGCCCTTCAAACATGGAGCTGGGGGATCCAGCGGTGCAGTTGCTGTCTGACGCCCCCAGGGTATGCTGAGCCGACAGCCCCGCCCCGCACAGAGGATCTCCGATACTGATTAGCCCGGAGATCGATGTTGCTCGCACAGATTTCCGCGAATCCGTCCGCCGCGCCGTGGTCGTAGCTAACGAGTTCGTTCCCTGGTGGGCTATGGTTCCCGGCGCCGGCGTTCACCAGATGTTTATGGGCAGCTGACTGATCGCAGTAAACATCTGTCGCGGAGCGCGATCATCCGGGAGTACGCGGTCTCCGGGGAATTCAGCTCTAGTAAGAGCTTGTCTGATCCTGCATGAGAGAAGAGAGACAAAATCGGGGGAAGAGCCACCGGTGTAGAGCCTTGGAGAAGCTATGCTCATCTCAGGCTGCTCTGATCCGATGCTATCTCACCCGGTTCCACGGGGAGCTCGAGCAGGAGGCGTTACTTCACCGACTTTGATCGCTCGAATCGATTCAATATCCCGAGAATGACAATCGATCAGTGTCTCACTTTCTTACATGACACCCATTCAAGACTCCCAGAAGAGACGTCATCGTTCGAACTCTCTACCCCTTTTCAGAGCCTCAACAGATCTACATATCTATGCCCAACTTAACGAGGAAGCACCCGATGCCTCTTATAACAGAGCGATCAGGATGAGCGGATTCGGAAAATAATCCTCCCGCTCTAAGCTCCCTGGCGGCGTAAGACAGGGTAAGAGCAGGTCGCGGATTCATCTCCAGCTGAGGCTCAAATCTCATATCCTCCCTCCCTCACATTCCCTAATGCAGAATGGGGAAAGCCTAGAACCAGAAGTCTTCAGAGCCCAGGCGGGGCCTCAACAGTCATCCAGCTCGCCCGGTTCTCTCTCAGAAAGTCCAGTTATGCAGGGGCATCAATATATGCCCTATTATTCGCCGAACCACATTTCATGAGTGCAGAAGCGAATGAGGACCCTCCTCCCTTCAGTATTTGCGGTATACCATGATATGAGAGGGTTGAATTGAGAAAGCTTATTTCAAGCGAACGAGCGAATCCTCCCCTCGGTCTGAGCCCAGTGCGAGCCCTCTGCATATTGTCAAGTGAATAATCAGTGAATCAGTCGACGGAGTCGACCGCTGAATTGTGAACCGATTTCCCTCCGCGCACGCCTCTGTCAGATATCCGTGGATCTCATGCTGAAAGAAGGATTCTGAAGATGAGGGTTCTCACCGGCGACGGGAGCGAGATTCCCCTCTCTGGATGAGTGATATTTGTGACTTCCTGGGGTTCAATCTCTTGGAGTCTCCAGGACTGGGTATAGGCAGCCAGAACGCTCCCCATATCAATATCAGCTTCCAAGCGACGTGTTGATCGCGTCACTCAGCCTTCTTCACGCCACTATTAGAAACCAATGGGTGCAAATAGCAGGCTGCATTTGTCAGAGTGAGTGAACCCTACCAGGAATCAGTTGGAGCCGAAGATTAATGGTCGATGTGGACGCGTCTCACTGCTTTAGATGTGCAGTCCCAGCCGAATGCTTAAATGCGACACTTATAAACCTAGCAACTTGACTCTCGAATGCTTTACCGAGAGTCTAACGCGACAACGCTGTTTCACGAGAATAAGCCGCTCCGATTCCTTCCAGGAAGATTACTGATCATGAATTCAGAAGAGCAGCCGTAAGACATCCATCCGAACAATAAAAGCGATCGCTTCGTGGGGATCAGGCATGAGCTCGAGCCTGAGCTTGCTCCGCAGCGAGTAGTAGGTATATCCTCGGATCGCTTTCATATTTGAAAGCGTTCAATTTCATGCGAAACCGGATACCCTGGAAGCGTCCGAGCCAAAGGCTTCGAATTCCGGAAGCGATTTTCGTACACCAAAAGCTGACCTCGCTTGCTCGAACTCTTGCAGGAATCCGTCTTCTGATTGATTTCCTGGGAAGCCGGCAGAGATCCAACTCCGAGAATTTACATATGTTGTCGAGCGAGCTCCTTCGGTGCTGCTAATCAGTCAGATTCTCATTAAGGCAGCTTTAGGACTTGCAGAGTAAGCTCGAAATTTTCCCACCGGGAACTCTCGACTTCCGCAATCGTCGAGAATAGCAACTTCCCGAACCTACGAGCCAGACTTACTTCGAAGCAGCAGAGTCTCGGGGGGAGTAGAGACACGGTCGAGCTCGTACCTTCCAACTGAATCGATGGGGTAATTTCCCTCCACACGACTTCGGGTCGGAATGATGAGCGGGTGACGACCTGGTGTTTCCGGAGATCGAATCCGTTTGTCGCACGTTCACCGTCCCATGCCTCTGGATTCATTCATCTCCCCTATGTATAAGGAGACCGGTACCGTCTACCGGAACGGTTGACGCATGTATCAAAGGGTCAGCTGAAGCCTTTCCAGATTGGATCCCGACCGTCTGAATCGACCCAGGCCGCTGGAGAAGTTTCCGCCCGAGGATCATCCGGCGGCTATACGTTTTGGAAAAATCCGAATTCGGAGGGAGAAATGCCGAGTTGGAGCTCCGGAAGGAATCTTTCGCAGGGTACGGCTGTAGAAATCGGGCTCCCTCGAAAGGGTCGGTGAATATCTCTGGGACTCGGCACCCCCATGGGCGAATACTCATCCAGTAAAATACCGAAGGGGTCGCTCTCAGACTTCCCGAACTCCTGCCAAGAGGTCGCGTCCTTATTCGCGCGGCATGCGCAAGCGACCTGTCGCTTATGGGGATAAATGAGCCAGTGTCTCGATTGAGCAATATGTATTGCGTAATGGACAGGCTCAAACGTACTCGGGAATGAGCTCGTACGAAGAGCTCTGGAGTAGCGCTTCTGCTGTGTTCTCTGGAATCTACTTCCCTGACCGGGGCTCGACCTCGGTAATCGAAGATTTTCAGGCAAAGTTGCCCTTTCTATCCTCGGTCGCCGACTGCCTGATCGATTTTCGGAATATTCACCCCCACCCCACGAATTATCCACGGGAGAATATCGCTCCTCGACGATGGACTCCGAAAGACGAGTCTATCTCGGGACAGAAATTCTCATGACTCGGTACTCTCACCCATGAAGAGTGGTCCATCTCCCAAAGACGACGAGCTCGTCCAGCTCTCGTCCCGAACTCCCGATTTCCTCCGTCACCGTGAAGAATGAAGAATGTTCACATATTCCGAATCCGCTTAAGTTCCTCAGGAGCGCACTGTACGGTGCATCTCACCGATCGGGACGGGCACTCGGTCCATAGACTCAAAGCGTGGCCAAGTTCGCCTCCGGATGCCCGAATCGACTCACCACCGTGGTTTTGTTCTCCCGCTCTGCAAACAGCGGAATCGGCCGCGAACTCGAGCGGAAATTCCGATTTTGGATTCATTCGCTCCCTCCAAAAGAAGCAGATCGGAAAGTTCCCACCATCGGAAAACATATTCGTCACTTTCGATTCTGTGGTGTTGGCTCTTCGATCCGTTTCTTCCCATTCTCTCTTGGACAAATATTTGCTCAGGCCGATTCTTGCAGAGCCGATCATTAATTCAGTGTCGGGTTCAACCGACGGAGGTTCTATTTACAAGATTGGCTTGGTCGGGTTGAGCGACTCGGGAAATAACATCGAGCTTGTGCCGCTTGGCTCTCCGTTGCGGTTGAGCCAATTGTTGCTTGAGAAACGTATCTCCTCGGAGGGTTGCGCGGCCGCTCGTACATGCTCACACTCCAATGTACGGAAAATGGTTGATTTATCCTTCGTACCTTGCATGAGAGATCCCCGAGAGTGTGGCATGTGGGAACGAAAATAAGGAAGTCTATCTGTCAAGGTAAGGAGGGGATTAACTTTCGATGTAGAAGAATACCTACCCTAATTATATCCACCTTACCAATCTCCAGAGCTCGAGCAGACATAAGGCGAGGCTCGGCAAAATGGGCGCAAATCCAAAGCGGCTCTTCGCTGTTCCTCTGATTCCGTTTTGAATACTGTTGATATGCAGAAGAAAGGTAGTGTGTAATCTCGAGGGCGTAGGAAACTGCTAGTCCTCTCTCCTGAGCCCTCTAGAGAATCGAATGTGAGTATGCTGGTACGGGAGATTCGGGGGTTTGACGAGTCGAAAAGGAAAGAAACCTTTCTCCTCTTCTCGGAAGATGACCACCGTAATGGTTGGCAGCGGCGGTCCGCTGTCACACTCCAATAAGCCGCACTGCGCACATACTTTTCAGCTGGCTTCTATCCAGCTTGAGTCTCAGGACGACGTTCGCTCGAATCTGAACGCAGTGGAGGTGATGAACGTCCCAATTTGCGAACGCTTGCGTAAGAAAAAACCCCCACACGAAATATTCATTTCGGTTGCCTTATCCCCTCGACATGTGCTCCCGGGAGACGAGTTCCCGACACCACCGGATTTCGTGATGGATCCGGTAGCTCACTCTGTCAGGTATCTTCTCACAGCAATGACGATCGCGCTTTGTGGAAATTGCGGCTCGCCGAGTTTCACATTCTCGTCAGAAGAGATTTGAATCTGCTTTCAAGCGATGAATCGCCTCTGTTGGAACGAGAATCCGCAGCGCGTGCCCGTTTTCGGTCGGAAGATCTCGAAGAATGGCATATGGAACGTAGATCGAATAATAATGAGCGGCTTGATCGCGCATTGCGAGGAGGTCGTCTCCATTGCGTGAATCGCCGGGGCATCAATTGTGGTGTCGATGGACTCAACAGGCGCTCCGCTGTCTCCAGTGACGGTCCCGATGGAGGGCAGGCGCAAAATCGCTCGGCTGACAGACGCCGCGCTGCCGCGCCGCGAGCGAGACTCCGTGGGACAACTGTTAAGAGCCTCTTCCAGACACGCAGAAGGACGAGGATAGGAACTCTATGAGGGATCGACACCTAGCGCTTTCTCAGACGGATCTTTCTCGGCCGACGATTGACGGTGGGAGCTTGTCGTCTGAGGTCAGCAGTCTTGCGCCTCGCGTACAAGCCGGCGGGGATCTGAGTCGTCACGTAAACTCCTCTCGTCCCGAGTGGTGAGAACTCTAGATACCGCGTTTCGTTTTCTCCACGTTCGCCGTGCCCTCGCTAGCTTGAGTGGGACACTGTGTTATGTTGAGGAAGCAGAATCCCAAGTTCCCTCGAAGGAAGATCGCTCGGCGCCTCCCCTCTGCGAGTAATATTTTGCGACTTCCTATCCAGTCACTTTCAACGTGACTTTGTGTTCCACTGCGACGCTCCCCACATGCATTATGGAGATTGCACGATGCAGACGAATAACTGCAAGCGCCCTGTTCAATTATGTGGAGGCTTTCTCCGTGGAAGGTCAACGATGAGTAGGAAGCCTCGAGTCTACGGCCACGGCAGTACTTTCACGACGTAAATCTTCCGGAGTTAGACGGACGGGAATCGAGAATATGGAGACGCTTCCCTTTGGCAGATCCCCAACCTATCTCCTGAGCTCGACAGCGGGCTCGACTCAGGATCGATGGCTCACAATTATTCTCACAAGGCTGTGCAGTACCTGATATCCGTGCTGTCACGGGACCCCACTTCTAATTTCGTCCGGGACCGAGAGCCAAGCAGCCCATTAGCTCCCCAATCGAAAGAAACTACCCTCGTCATGTTCGAGCATCTCATCCCCTGGAATATCGGTTTTACCCCATGAATGACGGTCCAGATTTAGGGACATTCCCCTCCAATCACACCCGATGCTTGCGGTTCTTCATCGACCAAGCCTGGCCGTATCCGTTTGTGCAGGATTGAGGACAAGCTGAGGTGGATTTCTCACGCGGAAAATTTTTATTTCAGAATGCAGTAAATCTGTAGGAATTATTTTATGTATGCGTATTGGAAGAATACATGATTTGGTAGCCTCCGATCGTTATGACACAACTCTCTCTATCGTAAATGCCCTACGCAGGATGCCTGCTTATGTGAATTTAATATCCCGTCCTGCCGGACGGGAACGCTTCCGAAAGAGCCACGAATCAAAAAGTGGATCTCTCGAGCTGCTCTGTACAAGTGTTCGCTGGGAGAGAAATCTGGGTCGGCTTCCCAGGCGGAAGACGGGGTAAAGATTGTGATCAGGTGGAGAATCGACGGCTCACAGCAATCTAATAGAATGCCGACAAGGAATCGGGGAGACAGGGCTTCAAGTCGGGACATCTCGGCCGGGAAAACCCGGCCGAGATCTTGGGCGAAGTATTCTATTCGTCGAAAGTCATTTCCAGGAAGGCTTGCAGGAGCAGATCAGCTTCCCGACGGATCTTGCTGATCCTGTCGATGTTATTCTTGTACCACGGACGAGCTGGTCGGTCGTGGCTGTCGACGTCTTTTGCCGGGGCTTCCCATACGCCTAGCCATGCGAGAACAGAAACGAAGAACAAGACGCCTGCCAACACTGGCATCTCCATCTCGGGCTGGATATGCTCCGTCAACGATTTGTGGAACCGCGTCTGCAATGAGAAAAGCAAGTCGTACAGGCTACGAATGTTCGTCTGAGCGTATACATGTGCGCGTTCGTAGGTACGTATCAACCCCAAGTCCCAGAGCGCCGCTTCGTAAAACCCTATTTGAACTTTGGCCAACCACCATATTCGAAGACATTTCTGCGGAAGGCGACGCACAAATGACAGGTTCCGAGGCCATAAGGCTCTCATCGTTCGATGTGGGTTCTGCTCCGTCGAGGCCGAGGTGACCGCCGCCGCAGGCTCCACGGCCCATTCCTCAATAGGACTCACCTTCACGTTTACGACGAGTCCAGGATCCACGATGTTCTCGAGGCTCTCGGCCAAGCTTTCAGCGTCAACGACGGAAAATCCGATTGTGATTACGACGACCATGATTGTTAAGTACAAGAACATCCGTAGCAAGGCGAGTTTTGAAACGCGTTTCGAGCGACGGCATTCCTCTGCAGCGAGTTTTTCTCTGTGAGGGCAGAAAAAAAAGGAGAATACAACATAAATCTCAGTCAGCGAATTTTTTCAAAGGCAACACCGCATATAGCGTTGTCACCGGAATAAACGACGAGCCACGTTTAGCCTGCCAACAAATTCCTTTGTCGGGAAGGCGGAATATTAAGTGGAAGGAAGGTGTACGGAGCTCCGGGAAGGAAACAAAGACAGGAGAATCAATGCCGACGAAGGAAATGACTGACTGACTGAGCAACGAATCAGAAAGGAACCACCGAACTGGTGGGTTGTGGGAAGGTCGACGAGAGCGTCGGTAGGCGGGGAGGCGGAGCGGAAAGCCAGGAAAATGACGTACGCGTTCAGCTTTTCCAGATAGTCGCACCGGTGAACGATGTTGCCAAGAACTTTATTTTGGAGGTTGCGAGCGATCGATTTGTCAATGAGGCTCCGTGATGCCTGGAGGTTGTTCAATCCTGCCGGCTGGTTATCGGAGTGTCCTGGCACGTAGATCGGAGTCAGCCATAGCTCTGCAACGTTTCAAGTTCTGATTAAATAATCGACCGGCGCTACGCCTGCGCGGAGGCTCGCTGGCGAGGGAGGAGATAGATGAGCGAAGCAGGACTTTCCCTCTGCATTCAAAGTCGTACCTTGACGTGCAATTTCGGGCCTTCCAGCGAGCTCTCTAGAGATCTGCTGAGTCACTTTGACGAGGTCGTGCTCGCCGTTCACCGTGTCGCACTTCGTCATGAACAGCGTCAACTGGAAGAATCGAAATTCCGTCATTGATGCGAGCGTCAAAGAGTCTTCGTCTCTTTCCTTTCGTATTAGGTTTGTTTGAGAGCTCCCTCTTGACTGATCGATACGATGATTGGTGTCTGAACCAAACTCTACGGATGCTCGGATGGGAACTCCAAACGATGCTCGTTCGAATTTTCAGCAGAGAATTCCAGACGAACGAACCTTGGTAGGATGAGTCAAGCAGAGCCGTTCGAGATGAAAGAGAGTCTTTTGACAAAGAGCCTGACCATGTGGATCGAAAAACACGAAAATAAGGTCAGCCATTTCGGCGCAGGTCTCGAGACATCGGTCGAAATCGTAGTTGTACCTGTAAATCGGAGAAGAAGAAGCTTCTTTCAGTTGGATGCACAGATAATGGGAGCGAAGTAGTTGCGCTCGCTGTGAGACAATGCGTAAGTCGAGCGTAATCGGCTTTGAATAAGACTGACTGCGAGAAAACGTTCCCGAAGAATTCAACAGACACTTCAAGCTCTGAATAATATCCGGCGAATGAATCGGCTCGGGTAGCCCAGCGAAGGGTCCTCAAGGCGGAGGCACTTCCGAAACTTGTTTCTCCCCTTTCGCTTCATTCTGAACCGTTCCCACAAGACTAAGTCGAGAGATTATCCGTTTTCCTCAGAGAAAACGCCAGCTGCATGGGCACTCCATAATCTAAACCGTGTCGACGTCTGTCAAGTCCTCCGCGAGTTTTTAAAGCGGCAGTTTTTTCAGCTCGCTTCTTCGCAAAGCATTTTTTGAGTGTACGTCCTGGAACATCTGGACGATTCTCATCCGGATGGAGAGCGAACGAGCAAAGAAGCGGCCAAATTTGGCTCTTGACTTCCCCTGATGACTCCAACAGGAGCTACCGGGTCCGCGTCGTCCGGTCTCCGACGATAAGTCCAGCAACATCCCGAACAGAACCGCGGGAGAGGTCACGAATTCGAATCTATTCATTCAGGAAAAACAAGGGTCCACCGCTGGAACTCACCGATTGCCGTCGACAATCCCCGGAGAGTCGATGAAATTCACCAGCGGGAATCGATGACTGGCGGAGGTGCTCACCTCACCCGAAAGATGGTCCATCGCGCCTGAAAAGATTCGGACAAAAATTCTGCTATGAGAATATCCTCAACTCCGAGGGTCTCGGAAACTATTCCGAGCAGGGGTGCGGACTTTCCACAGAAAGAGAAGCATATGCGAACGAGCTCGACGTGGAAGAGGGGTAGACCGCAGAGTCCACACCCCCTCGATCCGCGGCTAACCCGTCCCGGTCCAAGATTCCGCAGTCTCGGCCACACTTCTCGTTACACAGAGACAGGTGTCACTCTCAGACTCGTACCAAAAATAGGGCTCATTAAGGTACGGGATCGCTGCTTCTTCCCGGTAGAGACTCCTCCATAGGATATTGCACGGAAACCACACACGAGCCGGCACGCGGACGCCGGAGGAACATTCGAACATGCGTATATAGAAGTGAGAGCCTCGCTCCGGAGAGGCAGAGGCCGTGTTCAGCGGTCTCGCAACGAAAAAGTTGAGAGATTGATCAGGCGGCTGTGTCGACGGTGGGGAAAAAAGTTGCACAAAGTTGTCCTGCTCGTTGGAGAGAATTTGCCGGCCCCCACAGCCCTTCACTGGGCAGCTGGCAGTCGAACATTAAGCTAGCTGGTCCCGTGAAGAGCGACAGGGGCTCGGTGGTGGAGGTGGTGCAAAGTTTGCTCGTCCGCTCGCGAATGACTCGTTGTCTGACTCGAACGCACGTATCTTCGCTTCGATGGCTTCCATAATGATTTCGCATAGAGAGGGAAAAAATCGTCCGTTTGAATAAAACGGAGCCGTTTCCTACACGTGTGCTGCGATTCCGCCCTGCTGAACATATAATACATCCATGCAACGCTACAGGGAACCGATCCGCAGCGGCCCCGTGACAAATAATTGCAAGACGTTCGTTTCGGACTGGATCAGACTCACCAGGTATTTTCTCGAATGCTTGCAGGGCCGGGAAAAGCTTCAGGATGGTGCCGGCGGTAAGAGTTTCACGTCGTCTCCCGTGACACACGAAGGTAAAATTGGACGTCTCCATCGCGACCCCCGTCTTCTGGATCTTCTCGCCGACATACCTGAAAGACGGGAGAAAATTATTTAGGGACTGTTCTTCATTCTCAGCGCTCATTGGGGCTCGGATCGCCGGCACCGGATCGCCGGCGGAGAACAAGGAAGCGGAATTTCCTCCAATAGCCCACGCTTTCCGCGCGAAGAATCGACGATTCGTGTCTTCATCAGCGCGGCTTAATCGCTACGAGCGCCGTCGGAGCAGCACGGGCAATACCGAACTGCCCTACGACCTAATGACACGCGAATAGAAAGACTCCCAAGTCCTGCAGCGAGAGTTTGGATTCATTCAAAGTCGACGACGCGACGCTGATGATAAACGCGAAGAGGGAGTCGAACGCATGGCGCAGCTCGCCTACTCCTGGGATCGTTCTCCACGGCCTCGTTCGGTTGCCCGGAATCCCGCCTCATTCCCTGGATCCCCCGCCGATGGGCTGACAATCTCGCCAGTCTTCGCGCCCACGGCAAGAACTGTCGAGGAATGGCTCTCCCTATCACTCAGTCAGTCAGCCAGCCAGCCAGCCAGCCAGACACTCACTCAGTGAGCCAGAGGCAAAAAGTCAGAAGAGTAAGTGAAGTGAGGGACGAGTCAATGTACAGGAGGAGGAATTCAGGATATTCGACACACATTCCCCCATTCGCTAGGGGGAATGCGGGGAGGGGGGAAGGGGAAGACAGCCGGCGACCGGAGTCAATGGGAGTTGGCGGCAAGGCAATTATCACATTCCGATCGAGATTGGGACTTCGGAAAGCGAGCGATAGCCTTTCGCTGCAATTCCATTCCGTCCCATGCCATGGCTGCATATTCCATCTGACCTCCGTTCCTCGGCAGCGGCGCGAAGGAGTTTGAGCGCCCGAATATTCTTTTCCCCAGAAAATTTGGGCCTGTCTATCTCGAGCCCCTCTGCGCTATGCTCGAGAGACGTTTCCTCATATCGGCGACGAAGGACAGTATTCCCGCCTGTCCGTGCAGAAGGCACGGCGCTCTGAATTATTCGGGGAGAGAGATTCACCAGACGCGAGGCTTCCGCAGTTCGAGGGCTGCGATATGATTTGGCTGGACTGAGGCATACAAGCACTCTTCTGGGCAAGGACGTCACCGGAAAGGTATTGCTCCGATGAGCGAACACCGCGACCGAGAGAACCCGATCGAGACCCTCGTTTCTTGAGGACCGAAGGGGGAAGATCTAATCGATAGGACTAAACTTAAGTGGAGGACCTCGGAGAAACCTACGATGGGTGTACCGACTCCGGCTCGAGTATTGTCCTTAGGGCAATGCGAGGTCCGCCCACCGAGGGGAAGAGTTGCTCCCACGGCGACAGTTCGCGATTCAAGAGCTATTCACCTGGGTTTTTGAGTGCACACGAGTTGGTACCTCGAGAGAGTCACTCAGCAGGCCGAATACCCCCAAGCGAAAGAGTGTCTCAAAGAGATAGAAGGAAGATTCGTTCCGCTGTCCCGGTCTCCGAGGATTCTCAGCTCCGCCAGAATCGAATCATTTGGTCACTGAGCGCTCTCATAAACTTGCCCCCGGGACCCATCGCTGACCGCGTTCTTGATGGTGCGGTGTCCGAAGAGGACCAACGACGACGCCGACGTCGGTCTTGCCGGCGAATCAGAACGCCATTGTCCTCAACGGAAATCTCCCGACCGCCGGGCTCACGAGTCGTCAGCGAACCACTCAAACACCGTCCAATAGCTGCTCGGTATCGCGAAACATGGACCCGAGCCCCACCGAAGAAGCCCCGTCCACCCATTCGGAGTGGGTTCCGCGGAGCGGAATTCGCGGGGATCGACTCGAGAACGATCTCCTGGGAGTCAGCCGTCGAGTTTTTTTCACTCCTCTTCCAGTCTATGTTTTCGACTCAATAGATCGAATGCTCCAAAGTCGGGCGGCGTTGCGCGGCGGGCGATGGAGCACCGAGTGAATAAGTACCCGGACGGCTGACCGACCGGCCGAGCGACCGGTCTCATTAGCGACTCATGCCGCTCGACGACACAAAGCCCATTCGGGTGGGCCTCGCCCCCGTTGTTTTTCCCAACGGTCTCCCTCCATCACTGCCCTCGACTACGCTTGGAGCCGCTGGGCCGCTGCTGTTGATGCGAAAGGCATCAGGAGGCTACGACGCCGACGTGAGCATGAAAGAATGACCCGCCGGAAGAATCGTCCGCTATTACTCGGACAGGAGATGATGAAAAAGATTATCTCGTGAAAAGACTACCCGCCTTCCTCTTGCGTTTCCTCCTTCTCCCAATTGCCAGCATCATTCGTGGGCGACGCGACAACACGAAGATGCGGGTAGCCAGTTGCCGCTGGCCTCTTCCTGATAGCCGAAGCCCCTTAGAGAAGCGGAGGAACGAAGGAAAAACCGAACAAGGCTTCACCAGCTGCATTGATCCGGGCAGCTGCACGGTCCGATATCCTCTGTCTTCAGGCTACGCCGCCGTCGTTGTTGTTCTTGCTGCTGTCCGTTATTCATTCGAGTGGACGATATAACGGCTCAAGCCGAGACTTTCAATTTTCCAATGATGGAAATCCGATGCAGTGAAACATGTCAGTGCGGGAGAGGCGGGTCGGTCGGTTGCTTGCTTGCTAGCGATATGCTTTTATTGCACGCGGTATGCGGCGGGAACAGCCACTCGGCCGAGCGGGGGATAAACGAAATCATGCGGAAACATTTGATTGTGTGTCAGGTTAGCACCCTCTCACCCCGACCGAGCAGGAAGTCGCTTTAGAATGTTCCCTGTCAATATCCAGAAAATAAATTGAATTCTGCCCGATCACCGCGTCCTGCAGTTCATGCTTGCTGACCCGCGGAGAAATTTGATGCCTTCCCCATGGAACCGAGCGCGCCATCCCGACCTCAGTGGATTCTTCCTTCTTTTCGACGACCTCAAGAGTTCGGTGGATTATCACGCACCAACGCTTGATAAGCGACAATCTCGATAATTCCATTCTTGAGCCAAGTGCGAAAAGGCTCAATGATGGCTGGGCAGCAGAGATTGAACTCTTCGGGCCGGCTGGCGACGCACCCGCGAACAAACGTATTGCTTGCAGAGCTCACGGGAACGGATTTGGGCAGAAGAGGCCGAGGCACAGTAACCCCGGAGCTGAACCGTATAGCCAGACACAAAGTCAAAGAGCTGTTGCTGCTGCGATTGCAACGCGCTGTTCAGCGCCGTAACGAAGGAAACCCGGTCAGTTGTTCACTCGAACATTTGAAGCAAGCGAAGCCAAACACCGAAGCCGACCGCCGGAGCCTTACCGCACACAGAGCAGACGAGCGAAGAGGTAGCGAGAATTTTTCTTCCTCTTTTCTCTAGCTTGCTTTCTTCCCCTGCGGATAAAGGTGATTTTTGCGCTCCCTGATGACTTCCTGGTCTGGCTCGCTGGCTCACGGCCCACTTTTCCCTGGGCGACCCAGAGAAGCGGTGATTTCAAAGAGTTCCCCTTTTTTTCTTCCTCATCTCGTCTTCTCTTCCCGGCGCGTTCCCCGTCGTCGCTAACATCCGTAACCAACAACGAAGTTGGCGTCAGGAGGCGAAAAGGGGAAACGACCGACCGAGAGGATAAAAAGAAGCAAAAAAAAGAAAAAAGCTCCTGGAGCCCTGGTAGAACGATTGACAGCGCGATCGACTGGGGAATAACGAGAAATGGGGAAACTTCGAGGAAATCGCCCGTCGCTCCGCGGGAGAAAGGCATCGCGGACGAAATTTCTCCGAAGCGATGCGCGATACATCGGGAGCATCAAATTCAAACCGCAGCTTTCACAAAAGCCTATCGTCGTTTTAGGCTCCGGAGCCCATGTTTTGATTCCGCGTGTATGGGATGCCGTGATTCATTTTTCTGTGCGGTCGAGAATTTCCCTAGAAACCATTGACGAGTTTCGTGGCACTGGATTGAGCGGAATGGGAGTCGATTTGCGAAAAAAAGGTGCCTCATGGATTCTCGAGATCAAATTGCAAATGTGAGAAAAAACGGTCCGAGCATTCTTCAGCGCTTGCGAAGAGAAATCCTCGCTCCAGTATCTCTCACGCGGCCAACTCGACAAAACATTGGACCAGATCGGGATCGCCGGCGATGAAATCAGGAAACGGAAGAATCTTTGCCCCATTTCGGGTAGCGTGCGCCGAGAAACACGGCGAAGAATGCCAGACAGAAAGAAAGTCGGTCATCGCTCGACAGAAACAATGAAGGGAAGAAGATCCATGCGATAAGAATGGATCTTTCACAAATCGCGCGTATGCAGAACGGTATCCGCGGCGTTATCCTGCTGATAACCTGTTGGTGCCGTTCCCGGGAACCCCAACGAGCGTGACCGACCGCCGTATCGGGCGTGAACTGGAGAAAAAGAAACTTCGCTTTTCTCTGACTGGGGCTTGACATTCCCTCCAGCAGTCTAGCTCGAGGAAACCGAATGCTGCCTCGGCCGGCACTCTTCAGACAATCACCCGAAATAGATTGAAGTCTTGAATCCGATTCTCGTTCATTCTTTGTTTCCGAGTCTTGGAGATTTCTCCCCCGGAAATACCGGGTAACGCGATTTGTACGAAGCGCGCCGAAATGATTGAAATGGAAGTTGAAGTCGAAACAGTTAAGCGGACGAGCGTCTCAGGGCATTACCCGATTTTCTTTTTCGACTTAGCCCAAGCGGGAGGCGGAGCGAGTCGAAGAAGTTTCGGAGATAAAATTGAAGTCCCCAACTCCTCTTCGGCTCGAAATCTACTGCCTCGTCTCACCTCTGCTCGTCACCTCATCTCGTCAAGGAACGGAACCGCGTCAACAGCGGCGGGGGAACCAGGGGAACGAAACGAGTGGGGACTGGGGACCGAGAGACAAGAGGAAGGCAGGAGGGGGAACTATTGCCATCTAACGGCCACTTTGAGCAATTGGATTCCAACTTCGCAGGGGAGCCCCACCGGAAGCTGTCCAGCAGAGAAAGCTTTTCCAATGGCAAATGACCTTTGGAGCCTTGCGGCTCGGAGGCAACTCCTCGGCTCGGCCGA